TGGTTCGCGTTGCGGCGCTGCGGGGTGCCCGTCGTCCAGGTCGCGTTACCGCGTCACCCCGTCACCGCGGTCTTCCTGCTTCCACGCGCGTCCAGGCTGTTCCAGCGGCAGTACACCGTAAGGCGACACCGCTCGGCGCTCGCGGCATTCGCGCCTTTGCAGTGTGGCTGACCGCACCCGCGCAGCGTAGCGCAGCGCGCACGCATCGACGCGTGCGCCTCGTTACGTAAAACGGTGTGGGTGGGGGTCGAAGGTTGGCGAACGGGGAAGAAAGGGGGGGGGGTGCAGCGGCCTCGCGTGGGTTCTGCGCCCACTGGCTGGTATTGAGTGGGGTCAGGGAAGGTGTAAGTAGAATGAAACATGAGAGGGGACGCCCCCCCCCCTTCGGCCACCCCGGCCACTCCTCAGGGGGCGGTTTTCTCCAGACGGCGGTCTAAGGGGTACTTAGCATCGTTACGGCTCCACCCCACTCCCTTCCTGCGACGTTCGCCTACTTAGGAGGAAATAATCTGAATCTCAGCGAACAGGTTCATTTGTAGCGCTGAATCTGAATGCGTTTGGACTGAAAATGGACTGTACTCACTGCGCTCCCGGTTCTTCGAGTTCCTTCGTGGCGAGATGCCGCGAGATGCAGACCAGGGGTCACTCGGGGTCGGTGGAAGGGAAGGAAGGGTCCGAAGCGAAATCTGGCGTGGACACCCTGACGATAACTGTGACGCTCGGCTGCTCCGGCCGCTGCTTCACGTCGTAAAAGTTTATCAAACGCCATAAAAGGAACCGCCGCGACGACGCGTGAGGTCAAACCAACACAAGTGCATTTCCCCTCTGTGGTTCTTTTCTCATCTCCCTCGCCCTCCGCGAAGAAAGACGGGGGAAAACCCCAATGACAGCGGGCAGGCTGATCACGAACAAAGTGCCTTGCCGATTGCGTCTCTCTGCGTTACTACCACGCCCTTGAGAATGGAAAGCAAGCAGACGGCTTTGGCGGACTCCAAATATAAACTGCGCCAGCGTCACCTTCAATGCCAGCTGCGACAACACCAGAAGTGTGTTCACTGTTCTGTTGAACGCGCTGTGACTCCTTCTCGAAAGCTGTCGCTCCAATTCTTCCTTCGACGCTCGACTCGTGTCTCCACAGAGAAGGGCGGCTGCGGTACCTGCTGTTGGGGGAGGTCACGTACGGTCCATGTTCTCTTCTTTGGGCGGGGCGGGGCGTGGCAGGGCGGGGCGGGGCGGGGCGGGCAACTTTCACTTGCGCCTCACCTCTCACCCCGCCGGGTCAGGTGCTCGCCCCGTACGGTGTAGGGACATCGCTACACCGCACCGCGCCCGCCACGTTTCCCGTGCACTCGTTGTGCATCGCCGGCAGGCCTGGCGATGACTCGGCCAAGTGCAACGCGTGCAACGCCGTCACAGCGAGCCGATTCCGAACGGCGTCTCTCTCTCTCGCACTCGCGGGGCGTCCCGTGGGGGTGCGACAGAGACGGAGCCTGCTCGGAATCGGGCCGCCGGGGTTATCGGCGCGGCGCGGCCCCAAAGGCCCCAAAGGGACGGACGGGTCGGCCGGTCAATTAGCTGCTGTTTTGACAGTGCGGGGCCGCGAATCTATGCCGGGGATTTCCTGATGACCACAGCCGTCTGTCACGAAGGCCCGAAGGGTTAAGTCGGTTTTCGTGTTTCGTCGTCCTTTTTCGGCGCCGCGGACTGCCTTGCCAGAGGCTGGACGAGGAGACCAGTGCAGTGCAGGCGGGTGGAATATGGAACTCTGACGTTTTGATTCGAGTCCCATTTTTTGGTGGATGAGGTGCTCCAAACGCGTCCAATCGGCCTTGGCTGGCTCTCTCACGCCTATACGGAGCACGCCACGAGTGCGAGAGAGACAGAGCGACAACAGCTCTTCCGGGCCGCGAGTGACGTGCCGCGGACGTGCCGATGAACTCCTTGTTGCGTGGCATGGCAGTGTGGTGGCGGGCCAGGCCAGTGGCATGGCAGTGTGGTGGCGCGGCGGTCCGAACCTGTTTGCGAATTGCGTTTGGAAAGGCAGGCCGCTGAGCGCAGCGCTCATTACCTGCTACCGCGCTGCCGGCGGCTCTAAGGGCGGACCGCGGTGACCCACATCCAGCCGTCGCTCTGTCTCGCTCTGTCTCGCTCGCGTTCGCGAGACGCGTCCCGTCGCGGCGCGAGAGAGACCGAGCGACAGAGCTGTCGTTCGGTTCGGAACAAACCGGGCCGCTGCTGCCGCCTGGCGTGCCTGGAACGGCTTTGATGCCATCGTCGCTCTGTCTCTGTCGCACCGATGGCACGTTTCATGGGGGTGCGAGAGAGACAGCCAAGGTCCGCCCGCCGCATGCAGCGCCGTGCAGCTCGGTGCAACGCTCGCACTGCAGTGGAGAGGCGATGACGTTCGACGCGATGTCCAGCGGCTCCATTCCGAACAGTGCCTCGTCGCTCTGTCTCTCTCGCAGGTGCGGGTGTTGCATTTTCATTCAGAGAGAGGAACGGGTGGCGCTTCGTTTGCAACCCGACGCAACGCTGCTCGGCGTGCGTGGACCGCCAAGGCCTGCCAACGACCTGCACGCTCTGTCTCTCTCGCGCTGGAGGGGCGTCCCGCACCGGTGCGAGGGAGACAGAAGCACCCTTCTGCACCGCTCTTTCCAGTGGACAGTCGTAACCGCGACCCGCCGCGACCGTCTGAGCGCTTCATTAAATGCGGTCTCGTTGCAGAGCGGCGGCCGAACGTTGCCCGCGTCTCGGGAGGGCCTTCCAAGCGAGCCGCTCGCTCCCATGGGATATCAACCCTTTCCTCTGGCGTTTCAAATTTTAAATGAATGGTGAGATAAAGGCCGGCCCGTCGCCCTCCGCGCCGGCATCACGCCCCGCTATCTTGGGCGTTTATCTTTTTCGGTCGGCAGCTTTGTGTCTGTGTGTGTGTGTACACAGACGTGTCTGCTCGCGTACGTACGTCTCCGCGGGTGTGGTTGTGTGAGTGCAGACTGCGTGTGTGTGTGTCGCGTCGGCAGCCAGCCCGCTCCGCGCTACTCCGCTCGCTCTGTGTTGTGGGACGTGCCGACTCAATCAGCTGTTAGTTGGTGGCGCGGCTCGCGACGAAACGCCACGGCCCCAGTGTAGCTACGCCCGGCCGCGCCCAGCCCGGCTCCCCGAGTCAGTGTACGTACGTCGCAGACGTCGCACGGCAGCGCGGCTCGGCTCGGCTCGCGGTTCTGCTCGCGGTACTGCACGGCGGCTGTCAGTCACTCTGCGCGGCGCGGTGGGGCACCACGACCCGGGTCGCTGAGGCTAGTCGCTGAGGCTGCCTGAGGCCGCCCGAGGCCCGCTTTGGCAGTGTGTGCAACGACCGACGAGTCTCTGGAAGCGCCGAGGCGGAGCAACGGAGCAAGGCGAAGCGACGCCCAGCAAAGCGGCCACGTTATGTCATCCCGCGGCACGGAATCCGTAAGCAGCACCAAACGGAACACGGACGACGAGGTCGTTTCGTCGCCCTGTCTCTCTCGCACCGCGAGGGAGACGGAGTGACGAAGGTCTCTTCGGAGGCAGTCTTCCTGAGGCTCCTCTCTTTGCCTGTGGCGGCCCCAGGTAGGGCCCAGGCCCAGGCACGGCCCGGCCTGGAACGGCCAGTGGCGGTGACGGCACCACGAGCGTTTCGGCCAGCAGGCTGTCTCTCTCGCGCTTACACGGAGCGCCCCGTTAGTGCGAGAGAGACAGACGAAGGATGTTCAGTCAGATCCGCTCTGCGGGACTGGCTCGAGCGCCTGCGAGGTAGGCAGCGCGGCGACGTGGCTGCGCACGGGTTGCCTACCTCGAGTTGGCAGGCGCTTCGTCCGCTTCGCCTGTCCTGCCGGCAGCAGCTGGCTGTACCGAACAGTGCTTTCGTCGCTCTTCTCTCTCGCACCACCCATGGGACGTCCCCTGGGGGAGCGAGAGAGACAGAACGACGAAAGCACTGTTGTTCGCATCGGCCCCTAGGGCCGTACTGACGTCGCACTGGTGGCGGCAACGCGTGCAACGTGCATACAAGGAAGTAGAAAGCGGGCCCGATGCCCAGTGCAGCGCGGCCACGTCACCGACAGAGGTCGCCACAATAATCCCGAGAGCGAAAAAAAGAACTGTAAAATTGACAGGAAGCGGCACTTCAGCGAGGAGCAGGGCGAGGCGGGGGAGGCGCGCCGAGGAGTGGCGTGGCGGCTAAAGGTCGCCGAGCTGAGCCTTTCCGAACTGCGTGTCCGTCTCTCTCGCACCCGCTCGGGACGCCCCGCGAGTGCGAGAGAGACGGAGCGAGATTCAGCCTTTTTCGTTTTCATTCATCCGCCGCCATTGGCTGGTTCAACGGCTCCATGAAAAATGCATGGGTTGGCGGTCGCCCGCCCGCTCCGCTGAGTGAGACATTGTAATGTCGCTGGAGCGTTGATGTACTCGCTGCGCGCTGCACGTGACGTGTTGTACAGTACCTCGCGGCGGCGAGTAAACTATTCGCATCCGCCATTTTTCAATTTCCTCTTTTTTTTCTGCACTCGTCGGAGACTTGCACACAGCGCTTCGCCGAAAGCTTATTTTCGAGCCCCTCGCCGCCACGCGCGCCGCCGTGTCAAGGTCACGTGCTCGTTGTCGACGACGACGTCGACGTCGGAGGCACCGAAGAGCAGCTCGGCCTCGGAAGCTGCTTCTCGCCGGGGAGGGGGGAGGGGGAGAGGGGCCGGGGGTTCAAAGCCCCGCACGCTGTGTTTGGGCTTTCCTCCGGTGGTGTGGGAAACTGGGTCAGCGTGACGTAACGGCTGACCGGTCAGCGGCGTGGCGTTTGAACGAGGCGCTCGCTGTCTCTGTCGCACTCGCGGGGCGTCCCGGAGGGGCCGTCGGAGTGCGAGAGAGACAGCCGGAGTGGCTGTGCAGGTTTCCCCCGGCGCGCCGCCATCCGGTAGAGCAAAGGGTAAACATTCGCCCGTACTCGCCGAGACTGAAGACGAGGTCGTTTCTCTGTGTTGCAGGGGGTGCAGGTGGCGACCAACGTCACCGAGCAGAAGCACCACGTCTCGCGCGACAAGCGCGGCCAGATCCTAGGCAACCTCCGCGGCTTCCGAGGATGCACCGTCTGGTTCACCGGTAAGCTTCGTCGCCGTGTCGTGTCGCCCTGTCTCTCTCGCACCCCTGCGGTGCCTGCGGGGCCGGCGGGGCGCCCCGCGAGTGCGAGAGAGACAGAGAGACCCTTGCCGTGCCGCAGGGCTGTCCGGGGCGGGCAAGACGTCCGTGTCGTTCGCGCTGGAGGAGTTCCTGGTGGGGCGCGGCATCGTGGCCTACGGCCTGGACGGTGACAACATCCGCACCGGGCTCAACAAGAACCTGGGCTTCTCCAAGGAGGACCGCGAGGAGAACATCCGGCGAGTGGCCGAGGTGGCGCGCCTCTTCGCCGACAGTGGCGTGGTCGCCCTGTGCAGCTTCGTGTCCCCCTTCGCCGAGGTGAGTCGATGCGTCGAACTCTAAATTTCTCACGAAGATATTGGTGTCCTCTGCACCAGGGTGCCGTGGTTTTTGTTTTGCCCTGACGTGGCTCTGACTCTGCTTTCCTTCCCTTTGCCAGGACCGAGAGATGGCGCGGCAGATCCACAAGGACGCCGACCTGCCCTTCTTTGAGGTGTTCGTCGACACGCCGCTCAACGTGTGCGAGCACCGCGACGTCAAGGGCCTCTACCAGAAGGCGCGCGCGGGCAGCATCAAGGGTACAGTCTAGCCCCAAATTTTCTTAAACTGAAAACTTTTCTTAAATTTTACTAATTTTTTTTTTCAATTTTTATTTTTGTTGTAGGTTTTACTGGAGTAGACCAGGCTTATGAAAAACCAGAGCACCCAGACATGGTCATCAAGACAGTGGGTGCCACTGTAAAGGAGAGCATGCTGCAAGTTGTTGAAATGCTCGAAGAAAATGTATGTTGTTGTTTTTCTGTACAGTTCCATTCAAGAATTAAAATTTTAAAAACTTCTTTCACTTACGTTTATGCTTTTGAAAAAAATCTGTCTTTTAGGGCATCATTCCTCGCTCTGGACGTCCCTCATCCTCTGGCATCGTAGAAGAATTATTTGTCCCAGAAAACCTTGTTCAAGCAGCAATGGAGGAGGCCAGTAATCTTTCCGGCCTTCACATCAATGAAGTTGATTTGCAGTGGGTTCAGGTCCTGGCCGAAGGATGGGCTGCTCCTCTCCGAGGGTTCATGACTGAAGACCAGTACTTGCAGGTTTGTGTGATAAAAATTATAGTAAAAAAAAATTTTGCTATAGAATTCCGTAAACACTCATTTTTTATTTTCTTTTGCAGTGTCTTCATTTTAACTGCCTTCTAGAAGAAACAAGCCTAACAAACCAGTCCATCCCCATCGTTTTACCTGTAAATGATGCGGACAAGGAGCGTCTTGAAGGAGTGGAAGCAATCTCTTTAATACACAATGGTGAAAGAGTTGCTATTATCCGCAAGCCTACATTCTACCCTCACCGCAAAGAAGAACGAATCTGCCGTCAGTTTGGTACCTCACATCCTGACCACCCAACCATTCGAATGATTCTGGATAGTGGAGACTGGCTGGTTGGAGGAGAAATCGAAGTCCTGCAACGTATAGTTTGGCGAGATGGTTTGGATGAGTACCGGCTCACTCCTAATGAATTGCGCTCCAAGTTCCACGAAATGGGAGCTGATGCCGTGTTTGCATTCCAACTACGAAATCCCATTCACAACGGTCACGCTCTGTTGATGCAGGTTTGTAGAAGTCACATTTTGAGATCTGCTGTATCCCATCGCAACATTTTGTTTATATATATTTTTTGTCCCTCAGGATACCCGCCGCCGTCTCCTTGAAAGAGGTTTCAGACGTCCCGTTCTCTTGTTGCATCCCTTGGGAGGCTGGACTAAAGATGATGATGTGCCTCTTCCGGTTAGAATGAAGCAGCACCAGGCTGTCCTGGAAGAGGGCGTTCTGCACTCAAACGACACTGTGTTGGCCATCTTCCCATCTCCGATGCTCTATGCCGGTCCCACAGAGGTAACTCTAGTTCCTCTTTTGTATAGGTTTTCATTTGCAATTTTATTCCATTCACTAATCTCATACTATTGTGCTTCTTCATTGTTAGGTCCAGTGGCATGCCAAAGCACGAATGACTGCTGGAGCCAACTTCTACATTGTGGGACGAGACCCAGCTGGACTACCACATCCCGATAAGAGCATAGGTGGGGACTTGTTTGACCCGACTCATGGCTCTCGAGTGCTGAAGGTAGCGCCAGGGCTCACTTCCCTTGAAATCATTCCATTCCGAGTGGCAGCATATGACAAAATTGCCAGGAAGATGGCTTTCTTTGATCCAGATAGGAAGCAAGATTTTGACTTTATATCTGGAACTAAAATGAGAGGTACAGTTCCTGCATTTTTTTGACACCACTTGTTAATTTTCTTATGTTTTTTTTCCTTCCTTAACTATACTCATGTACTGTTACAGGTCTTGCTAAGAGTGGTGAAAATCCACCAGATGGTTTTATGGCAACAAAGGCTTGGAGAATATTGGCAGGATACTATCAATCCCTTCAAAAAGGACAGTAAAGGAATCCAAGAGATGCAGGAATTTCCTGAGAAAGAATTTACTGTCCATTGCAATTAAATTTTGAACTTATTACTATTTTTGATTGTCATATCACCCTTCTAATTTGACATGGATTCCATTCTATGAATTAATATTCAAAAAGCCATGTTTACATGGTTATACAATTATGTTCAGGAATGTAAGTGAATGATGGCACATCTTGATTTAAACTCTTAAGAATTTGTGTTGCATCACCGAAGCATTTTCAGATATAGGGTAGTTGGAATATGTAGCTAGTCACTGACATTTTTTTTTTTTTCATTTTTTTTTTCTGATGAGGTGCATGGTAGCCTCAATGCAAAGACCCTAAAATTGTTAATTTTAAAATGGATACAGGAATATTCATTATTGTTACTTTGATTTAGGTATAGTTGTTAAAGGTGAATGCTGAGCGCACTGTCAGCCAACCTTAAAAAAATATTGCTTTGTTTTTTGAAACAGTATTATGATGTTTTAATGTTAACTATCTTCTTCATTAGATCTTTCAGAGCAGAAATACTTTTGAACTCAAAGAATATTTTTATCCTGTTGCATGATATATTTTTATTGATAAATTTATTGTCTATAGAATACTTGTTTTATGAGCTATTGTTGACCACTGAAATGTTTTTATGTTAATGCTGTTTTGCATATGTGTTTATCAAAGTTTGTTTTTTAAAATGCTATCTTTACCATTCCATTTAAACTGTTTTAGTTTTATTTGATACACTTCCTTTCATATACACTTCATTTGATGAAAACATTAGACACACATAAAAGCACACTTTACATGTCTTCGCTATGTTACTCCATTACCTGTAACAGACACCATACAGAATTTTCCTAACGCTAGGTACGTACTTTTTATCACAGATATTTTTCTTTCATTTGATTGCTCACAGCGCTCTATATAAAGTCTAGAACTTGGAATATGAGTCCAATACTTTCCTAAAATTGGCTTTATGTCAACTTGTGGGACAGGTGAAGAAACATCCCCTTCACCTGATAGCGGAGCTGCTTCCTCTTCCACCCACTTACTTGCCAAATTGACAACTAGAATTGACACATAATGCTCATGAGCAATATAATTCATCAAGCTAGCTAAAGAGTTTAAAAGGCCTAAACTGTCCATTTTATTGCTACCCATATATTGAAGAAAAATAGCTGGCAAGGATTCTATAATTATCATTCGAATACTTCCAGGCTCTCTCACTAATTGATTCTTCAGATGGTACAAAAATGAATATAGCTCAGAAAAGGTGTTAACTCTAGTAACAAGAATTTTTTCCATAGTATTACCAATTACTTCTTCATCTAATTCTTTGGACTCCAGTATAGAATGAACTCTTTTCCCAGAAAAGTCAAGTTTTGTGTCTATATAATGAACAATCTTTTGTTGTCGTAAGGCTATATTAGTGGCAACAGTTAAGCAGAGCTGGGTTTTACCAGATCCTGATAGACCACATAACTCATACACATTTCCTGTTAAAAAACCACCACCTAAAAGATCATCGAGAGTCTGAATCCCCGAGGAAATAAATGAACATTTCGACATGAGATCGTTGTAGGCATCAAGGCCTTGTTGAGGCAGGGGAGAGTAGTTAGTAACTAGAGTTTGTCTCAGGGTGATCACATCCTTAAAGTCCAGTTTTGATATTGCGGAGAGTTTCTTTGGATCTTCTAGCAACACATCGACAACAGTGTGGATCTTCCGCTGACTTAGGTTTTCCAAGGCACTTTTGGTTAGAACGGAGCACATTGATGTGGAAAGCTTCGCCATCGTATTATTGCGTTAGATGCCAGATGACTGCCGTGAAGAAACCTGAAAACCATTCAAAACGGACACATCAATGGCAAGTACTGCATAGAAGGCAAATGGAATAGACGAGTCTCAACATGAACCCATTAAATAGACCAAAAAGTAACAGTACGTTAACCCAAACTTACCTCGGTGTCATTGATTGAGTCACAGTCTCTAAACAGGTATCGTTGTAACGGCTGTTCTGAGGAGTACAATGCACAGCAAGATTGCGAGATGCCGATTTCAAGATCCAAATCATAACAAAAGCAGACGACGCGCTACACGGGCGTGTGAGTACCAACCTGCCGGTGCGTTTTTTCTCTCCGTCTTTTGGCTTTTGCGTTGAGTGGCTGTGCCAACCTGACGGAACTTTCTCGTTCTCCCCGCACTGTTTTTAACCTCCCTTTTTTGCGGTGCTCGCCGACGACACCACCAGCCGAAACACGGCGGGGAGGTGACTATTTCGTAAATATGGCAACCTCAAGAGGAGTCAACTTGTTATTTCAACTGAAAACTATTCAATTAAGTAGTTTGTTCAATGTGTCATCCAAGTCACTGCATTTATGTAGCAAGTGTAGTGTTTCAAGGGTTCGAAAGAGTGCTTCACTGCTCTCGCCCCTCGCTACAGGTAGGTTAAGTTCCTCTTGTCTGCTATTTTACAAGGCTCATTATCGTGTTCCATCACTTTATATATTGCCAAGAGTAGAAATTAGCCCGGATGTGCTTATGTTGTCAATATTTCGTTTTTGGTTGTCTTCAGTCTAAATTCATACCAGTTTATGTTTTGGCCATGTAGATGTCTCATTGTTATTTTTTATTTGATTGTTTCAGGATTGTCCTCCACTTTAGCACCAGCATGTTCATTTCATACCAGCCACTCCTTGACGAAGCATGATTACTATCAGTTGTTAAATGTAGCTCGGAATGCCTCTCCAAAGGAAATTAAAAAGGCCTATTATAAGTTAGCCAAAGAGTATCACCCCGACACAAACAAAAATGATCCAAATGCAGCTCGTAAATTCCAGGAAGTCTCAGAAGCCTATGAGGTAAGTGGCATTTCTGTCTTGTAAGTTGAAGGCACCATAAAGATATCTAATCAGTTCTTTTCTACAGGTTCTTAGCGATGAAACTAAGCGCCAAGAGTATGACCAATGGGGAACCACATCCGAACAGATGAACAGGAGTGGTCAAGGTGGAATGGGAGGTGGGAACTGGAATTTCGATGACAATATCAATCCTGAGGAGCTGTTTAGGAAAATTTTTGGTGAAGCTAATTTTAACCATGGTGCCTTTGGAGAAAACCTCCGTGAAACTGATTATCATGCCAACAAACATGGCTTTGCTGGAGCTGAAGAGGTACTTATTTTGCTTTTATTCAGTTGTTTAAATTGTTATTGCTAAGGTTCAGTTGTTGCTTTTCAGTAGAATTGTGGTTTTCATAAGATGTTTTTGTTTCATATGCCTCAAACAGATCATCTTAAACCTCACCTTTGCTCAAGCTGCCCGAGGTGTTGTCAAAGAAGCTCTTATCAATGTTGTTGACACCTGCGTGTTATGTAAAGGGTCTCGTTGTATGCCTGGGTCCAAGGCTGGTCCTTGCACTTGGTGTAATGGAACTGGAATGCAAACTGTCAGTAACGGTATGTGCTTTCAAAAATTCTATCTTGATATACGGGCTTTCAGCATACCTAATTATCAAATTTTGTTTTAGGACCCTTTGTTATGAGATCTACTTGCCGTTACTGCAAAGGTACTGGAAAGTATATTAAATTCCCCTGTACAGAGTGTGATGGAAATGGAATAAGCATTCAAAGGAGGAAAGTAAAGATTCCAGTTCCAGCAGGTAAGTGCTTCAGAAATGACACTGAGCTCTGTAGTATGTGTATTCACTTGATTTATTCATTCATCACTCCTTTTTCCTGGCAGGAGTGGATAATGGTCATGTTCTTAGAATAACTGTCCCTAATAGAGAAGTATTTGCAACCGTTCGAATAGAGAAAAACAATTATTTCAAACGAGATGGCGTCAATGTGCACACAGAAGCTACCATTTCTGTATCACAAGCAGCTCTTGGTGGAACTGTCCGTGTTCAAGGTGTATATGAAGACCAGACTATCCAGGTATTGTCAGGCTTCAAGGAATTGAAGGTATTCTTGGTCTTAAATATCTTGTTTAAACCAGACCTGGCTAAAATTGTTTAATTATAGGTGGCTCCACTCACATCATCACATACCACAATTCGCTTAAAAGGAATGGGTATTAAGAAATTGGAGCAATCCGGAAGTGGGGATCACTTCGTCACTCTAAAAATAGGTATGCCAAAAAAGCTGAGCGACAAGCAGCAATCCCTTATTCAAGAGTATGCAGAGACAGAAGTGGACACTCCAGGAACCATCTTTGGAATAGACATCAAAGAACGGAAAGGTGAACTGAAGCTATTTACGTTATGATTTTTCACTATGAGTTTGAATTATAAATTATTTTTTTTGTTTAATTCGTTAATTTTTTTACAGCAGGTAGTGGTGGCAACTGAAAATCTGATGAACGAACTACAAAACAAATAAAATGAAATCTGCTAATGTCTTTAGCATCAGTCAATTGTTTAGTTTAAGGAAAAAATTCTGTAGAAGCATTGTATTAATAGCATGCACTGTGGTGAGCCTCAATACCGAAAAACTCTATTGAAATATATTTATGAAGGTTCCCCCCTCCAAAAGTAAGAATTAATCTACCAACTCTTTTATGTTCCCATCCAGTAAACGAAAAAGCGTGTGCCTAGTAGGTTTGATGTTGGATATACAAATCCTTGTGAGTGTAGCATGGGTGGGGACTTTGAGGATAGGGCATAAGAAACTTGAATGCAGGAGAGAACAATTCAAGGTAACAATAAGTATTATTTTAAAATATTATCAAGTGTTCTGTGCAGAAGATTGTTTTCACAAAAATCAACCTTTCTTACTTTACTAGTTAAATTATAAATAGGATTTAACATACAAATAATTCAATGACTGATGAGTATACATACAAATGTGATGAGTAAACTTACATCTAACACAGGCCACCTTACAAACTTTTTCTCCTTGTAATGTGGAACAAATATCACATTCTAAACATAAATGGGACAACAGTGCTGTGTCCCCTTTGCTAATCAGTCTTTTCAGTCTTTTCAATGCAGTCCATGCTTTCAAGTTAGCAACAAATGTCTACCTTTTCTGCATTTTCCTCTTTGTATTCATTGTTGAGCTGGATTGCATCACTTTCGCGAGTTATCTCTTGATGTCGTGTCTGCAGCGCGCGCTCCACCAGAAACTGCATGGCTCTATCTGAAAACAAAGTCGGCACAATCAGAGAAAATCTGAAGGCAACGAAAAAATAGTAGAAGTATTGGCATCGCGTAACGGCCCATGGCGCTGACTGCAGACTCACCGATGTTGACGTTGGTCTTGGCCGAGGTGAGGAACCAGGCCTGGATGCCCTGTTCCTTGCAGAAGCGCGTCACCACCTCTGGCTGCACACTGTAGCCTGGAATGTCGCACTTGTTGGCCAGCAGCACCACCGGCACGGGCTCCCCGTCGGCCAGGCTCAGCTTCTCACGGAGGTCCTTGAGCCACTGCAACAAAGAAAGCCAATTATGAAGAGAGTGGAGTGGGAAACGTCATTTTCACACCAAATAGAAAGTGTCAAAGACCGACGATCATTTGTGGTCGAGGCATTAATCGCAAGCGCAGGGGCAAGGTAGGCCACCATTTTCCCACAGGCGCGCTGCGAGACCTATTGCTGGCCTACCTATGAGGCGTTATGCCACACTTGCACCCCAGCAGTTTCGCAGTTCCACCAGCTTCTCACCTTGCGCACTGACTGGAAAGTCGCCGTCCGAGAAAGATCGAACACTATCGCCGCTCCAACTCTGAAACGGGGAGAGAACACGAATAATGTTGACACTCGGAAACAAAAAACAACAACAAAAAAGGCGGCAAAGGTCGGGCGGTGAACCCGCGGTCCCCGCGAGTTCAGCGGACTCACGCGTATTTGTAGTAGACTCTGGTCATGCACCCGAAGCGCTCGTGCCCGGCTATGTCCCTGCAATAAGAAATAATAAAAACAATTAAGAAGGGAAATCTTGTTGATGATGAAACGGAAGTGCGGTTGGTACCCACCAAAGCTGCAGGTTGACCTTGGTGCAGTCGTCCCACTGCAGCGTCCGCATCGAAAAGTCGGCGCCGATGGTGATCTTGTAGTTGGAGGAGAAGCGGCCTATGGCAGAGCAAAAAATGAAGTATAATCAAGAGGCGAAACACAGCGGTGCGAAGCAGTGCGAAGAAGGTCGCGATTGCGGGGAATGTTTTCTTTTTCCGCGACGCGACGCACAGCGCATTTGCGATTGCCTTTGAAGGGCGCGCTGCAAGACAAGCTATCTCCAGCCGCCCCGCCACGCCCCGCACCGGCACGTAAGACCAGCTGATTCCGAATCGCGCGCCCCGCCGCTCTCTCTCCCTCGCACTCACGGGGCGTTCTGAGGGGAAGCGAGAGAGACAGAGCCCGACTGCTGCACGCGGAAACAAGCAGACAAGAAAGTAGGCGACGGATTCCTTCCGTATCGCATGTTGTTTCTACAACCCATCCGGAAATTCACCTGCATGGTCTACCCACTTACCGTCTGTGTAGCGCCGAACCACAGCCGTCTTTCCTGCAAGCATACATAAGGTGGGATCAGTCGGAGGACAGTTACACTTCGTTTTTTAAATGTAAAGGTTAAATATCAAATCGCGACTTTATGGGCGGCCCCATCTCCCCCGAAATACTAATGCCGGCTCGTCACGTGGTCAAGAGCAATGTCAGGGCCGCGGTGCCACACGGCCGTCTCGCAGCCTGCCTCGTTTCCCTCGCTCTGTCTCTCTCCTGCCTACACGGGACGCCCCATGAGTGCGAGAGAGACAGAGCGACGAAAGAGACTCTCGGAGTCTGGCTGCTAGATAATCCCCGACGGCTGGCGGCGGGCGACGGACAGGCCCGGGATTTTAATTGGATGGGTGGCACTAGAAAGTCGAGGCCCGAAAAATCGAAAAGTCCGCAGTGTGCGGACTTTCCTGGCCCCCACAAGTACACACATGCTACCCTTAATCGTTTTGAGAGATCGAATGACGCGGCTACGCCAGGGCTACGCGGCTAATCGCGAAGAAAGGGGAGAATGAATGGACGCCGGGCGGCAACGTGAGTAACGTGCGTAGTGGCCGGCAGGCCGGCATCTCGCTGACGACGCAGCGAGTCGAGGCGCGAGTGTCCGCGCGGCCGACTGTGCGGGTGCGAGAGAGAGAGGCGGCGTGGCTATCAGCTGGACAGGTATCGTGGCCGCGGAGATAAGACCGCCCTGACTATGATTCGACAGCAGCTCGTTTTGCAAACGAGAAGCTTATTTTGCTACATTGCTATTGAGCGCGCATCGTCACGCACTGCAGTCTGTCTCTCTCGCACATTGCCGGGGCGGCCCGTGAGTGCGAGGGACACAGAGCGACGAAATAAGCGCTGTACGAAATCGGCCTATCCGCGCCGAGTCCATTCAGACGCTGATAGAAGAAATAAGAGAAATGTGAAATGGCCCCTCCGAAAAAATCTAGTCACGTGGTTAGTACTCGTGTGCGCCGGTCGTGATGGTCTTGGAGAAAGCAGTGATTGGGTTTGTCTAATCGCAGCCTATCATTGCGTCCGGTCCGACGCCACGCCACGCCACTGCCGTCAGCACACGCGCCTCTCCGCTATCGAGATCCAGATCCAGACGATACCGTACAATCGCGTCGGTGGAATGTCGCACCTTCTGTCGCTATTTTGTCTCGTGACAATATTTGCGGCTCCCTGTAATCATTCAGCGAGGACCAGGAAAAAGTAACGAAGCGGCGATGCGCGATGCAACGCTGCACTCTGCAACGGAGACCATGCTCCCGCCACGCGCCACGGGGAATGCCAAGGCCAGAGAAAGCACCGCGTAAAGGCGGCAATGTGTCACTTCAAGGGAGACAGTTTTCTCATGCGAAAATATACCGGACGATGACGGAGGGATAGAGGGAACGGGTCGGAGCGGGTGACACTCGACCCGTACGGATTTTTAGCGAATAAAATGACCAAAAAGAGACGAAGACAAATTACCCCTCCTATCGAATAGGCACTACCAACGCGAACCAACATGGTACCAACTTAGATACGTCAACAACACGACATGTCAACTTACCGACGCCGTAGTCGCCGATGACGAGGAACTTGAAGAGGATTTCCTTGGGCACGCACCGATCCACACTGGTGCTGCCCGCCCTCCCTTCCCCGGCCACGTGGTTGTTGTTCAAGAGCATCGTCGGGCAGTCCGTCCAGTCCTGCGGTGCCGGTAGTGCCGGTGTGCGTGCTGTCGTGTGCACTGTGCACCCTCGCGACGCTGCCTCCACACTGTCGCGAAACGGCGGCAGCAGTCCCTCGTCTCGGCTGCCCGTCTCGACTGTCTCTGTCTCTTCCGCGCCGCGATCGGTCTGACTGACTCGCTCGCCACACGCGCCCAGCGGCGCCGTGAGCCGGGCAGATGTTGTTGTAGAGGGCGGGGAGCGGGGAGGGGGGAGGGGAGTAGCGGCGGGCCAGGGCGGCGCGGCACGATTCAAGATAAGAACGCCTCATTGCGTCGAGTCAAATCATTAAAAGTCGGTTTCCATATTTTCTGAGCGAATTGGGGATCTGATGAGGGTATTTTGAGTGTTACTGTTGGAGAAAATAGGGCTGAGTCTAAAAAAAACAACAAACAAATAAGAGCAATATTGACATTATCCTTTATTAACAGCTAATACATTACATGACATTCATTTAATACTTTTCCTACTAAAATGCCTTAAAAGTATACTTTTTCCTACCCTTTACCACATACTGAGCAGAAACATCTGCAATCACTTCAAATAAACTTTGCCAACAACTAATTCACAACCCACAGGGCATATATTTCTAAGGGAGATCTATGAGAAGAAAACAGACAAAAACAAGGATCAAGATATATGTTTATAATACAGAGTGTCCCTTGTTATGCTGCAGTTAAATGAGGCATTGCAGTCACATTATTGGCATGAGTAGTAAGTCCAAGATATGGATTCCTCTCAATTATCATAGACAGCTAGATGTCTAGATAGGGCAGCACTCTGATACATCAACAAAAACGATGGGAAAGGTCTGGACCACAAGGACATTCTATGAGTCTGTCGCACAATAAAGATTTCAGTTGAAATGTTCACAGTCGATTCGATCCTGCAAAACGACTTTATCAGGATGGTGCAAAAATTAAAGAATCTTTACAATAAATTATATGTTTATAGAGATAGACAGAGACGATAATATTCTATTGTTAACGGCTGCAAGTTTGAGACTGACACTAGGCGGCCAAAAAAAACCCTCAACAGATTAAAGGCATGCAGTCCCACAAAGCACTGCACATGGCAGACCGGGAACGCCACAACCTGAAAGTACTTCAGAGAAATCCTAAGTGACAAATATTTTTAAGAGCGAGCATTGATCAGGTTGAACAAAGTAAACTCAAATAGAATTCTCTTCACAGGATATGTTTCCAAGTCAAAACTAGTTGATGAAACGATTGAGAAAAGTAATTAAATATGATATTATTAGCTTTGCAATTTCACAACATTTTAAGTTAGAAATTTTTTAAAGAGCAAACCAAAGTTTGTATGCAACATATGTTTAGACCTTCTTGCGTTATTGATTGATAGAGAAGTTATATACTGAAGGGTTTTTTTTAAAAATTCACAATTTTCAACAGTAAGCATTCCTGTATCCAAGACTTTCCCATCCATAAATATAAAAAAGTATTTTAAAAAATATCACAGAGAAGAGTAAGCTTCTTTTCCTGGTCCTGGTGGTGGTCAGATGGGTACCACGTGCTGTTTACAAAATCCTGCTTAGTAACAAAAATGTTGCACAGATTTAACCAAAGATTTCCAACAAATTTTAACAATTGTTTAAATATACCACCTGTGCACACATTTTAAAATGGAATGGGAGAAAGGAGAGCTTTTCAAACAGATAGTAACACACACTTGCACTCATACTGATGTAAAAAGACAAACACATCATATGGTAGAACCATCGACCACAAAACCCACAGTATATAAACCATTATATATCCATTGGTAAGAAAAATAATAAAGGACTTTACCTAAAATTGTGACACCTAGTGTGAAGGACCACAATTTGTTTATTTTAAATACTGCTCTGTAAGATAAGGTACACAGTTAAGTGCAAAAGAGAAATAAGAAAGCCTAATGCTCTGATTCAATAAATTATAAATACAATTGAAAAAATGAACTACTCTAATTGGTCTCAATCAACATCCTCGTGAAAAGTAAGAACGCAATGAGGGGAAGGGGAGTGATGAATAGAAACGGAAACTCACGAAGAGCACTGCATTGTCGCCTGGTAAGTTTGAATGCGACAATTTGCGGCATAAGCAGAAACGGAGTAAATAAAATACACAAGACAATGCACTCACCAGAAAAATTATCATAATAATAAAAGGAAAACCAGATTGGGTGCAATAATTCTATTGGTGCAGTGGCACTGTGTTTTGAGGTAAGATCACCTCATGAACATGACACCAAGTCTCAGAAAACTCAAACGTCTTGCCATTTTTGGTGGAGCAGCTGCCATTTGTGATGTCATTATTAACACAACATTTTAAAAAAATCACAAGTACAACAACAACAACATCATCAACAACAACAACAACAACAAACAGCTAACAACTTACACGTACACATGTTCACGCTCACAAAATTCGTTCAGCCTTTTATACTTTTCCTATTATAGTGTTTCTCTCTTTCGACAGTCACGCTAATTTCATTTTGTACACGTGTTATCACAGCACTGCCATATCAGTCGGCCCCTGGTCGGGGTGGTTCGGGTGAGGCTTTAGTGTCAGGTAAGTCAGGTAGTGGTGCGCAGGGCGCAGACGGGGCCTTGCCTAAAGGCTCCGCCGGCGACCGAAGGCGAGGGTGGCTCACAGGCCGAAAGTGATGTTGAGCGTGAGCAGCTCCATGGGCTTCATCTTGGCCTGGTCCAGCGCGCCCAGCCTGTCCACGTGGTGCAGCCCCGTGAGCGAGGTCTGCGACACCGAGTCGAGGCGCAGGCGAGAGAAGGCGGTGCGCGGGTGCAGCGCTAACCGCTCGGCCGGCGCCCGCCCCTGGTCCTGGTCCTGGTCCTTGGCGTCCGGGACGCCCTCGGCGTTGTCGGGGTCGGCGTCGTCCTTGCGCACCGCGTTGTCGTCGTCCTCCGCCACCACGCTGCAGTGCGGCAGCGACATGGACGTGCCCACGCCGCACGCGAAGCCCTGGCGGTGCAGCACCAGCAGCGCCGACGTGGACGGGAACTGCGAGTAGCTGCCGTCCGCCAGCGTGCGCAGGTTGAGCAGGTGCACGTCGCAGGGGAAGGGCCGCGACACCAGCACCACCTGCTTGTGCAGCGACGACTCCACGACGCGCGAGGCGTGCGACGCCACGGCGGCCATGGGCGCGGGGGGCGGCGCGTTCTCCAGCGGCGACGCGGTGGACGAGGGCGCCAGGTCTTCCCCCGCACTGCTGGTGTCCACGACGAACACGTTGGTGGGGTAGATGAGCGAGTTGGACATGTGGTTGGTGTACAGGCTAGGCCGGGAGTGCTGGTTCTTCTCCTCGCCGGGGTCCGCCACGTCCTCCAGCAGCAGCCAGAACTTGGTGAGCGTCTGCTTGTTGTCCACCACGCCCTCGCCCATGCCGCGCGAGTCGTCGTACAGCGTCCGCCGGTCCAGCATCACCTCCAGCCAGCCGGGCTGCCAGCTGGCGGCGCCCTGCGCGTGGTTCAGCAGCAGCGACAGGCGGCGCGTCGAGTCCTGGATGTAGGCCATGGTGGTGACGGGGAAGTAGTTGCCCTCGATGCCGATGCGGTCCACCTTGACGCGCCGCTGCATCTGGAAGCCGTTGGAGTCCGTGTACACCTCGGGCGGGTCGCCGTTGGCCACGTCCGTCACCAGCCGCATGAACAGCTCCGTCTCGCGGAACTTGGGCGGCTGCTCGAAGTCCACCATGTTCTCGACGTAGATGCCGCTGCCCAGCGCGCCCAGCGCGTGGTAGATGCGCACCGTGTGCGCGAGCACGTGGCCGTAGAAGACGGTCACCTCGGACGCGATGGGGCCGGACGAGATGACGACGTGGGGCTTGAGGCCCTCCAGCACGTCGTGCTCGCCCTCGCGGGACGGGTCGGGCATGAAGAGGTAGGCGCCGGAGTGGAACTGCGCGGACGAGTAGGCGGCGAACTGCACCTTGCAGCGCGTCGTGTGGATGCGGCCCTCGCCCTTGCGCGTCACCGTCTTCAGGAAGCCCGAGTTGGCGTCGAACAGCAGCTTCATGGCGTAGTTCTCCAGCTGGATGTCGCCGGGCTGCATGCTCTTGACGTCGAAGGGCGACACGAAGGCGGTGCCGTCCTCGGCGCGACCGCACGCCGCCCCTTGGCAGAACACCTTGGCGCGCGGCGCCGTCTGCTTGGTGGCCATGCGCTCCAGGCGGAACGACACGAGGGCCAGCGGCGGCAGCTCGGCCACGAACATGAGCTCGAACGCGTCGCGGTTCATGTGCAGGCGCGGCTCCTCCAGGCGCGTGCGCTCGTCCACCTGCTGCTGCGGCTGCATGTCCAGGTTGGTCTCGCCCGTCAGGTTCCACAGCGGGCTCACCTGGCAGGGGATCACGTTGCCCTCGGGGTCCAGCACGCGCACGTCGGGCGTGGTCACGGTGAGCTCGACCACGTCCTGGCGGTGCTGCGCCAGCGAGTTGAAGAGCACCACGGTGCGGGGCTGGCCGAGGCCCAGCTCGATGGGCACGCGGCGCGCCAGCTTCTCGTAGGACTCGCGGTCCGAGTCGGGCTGGATGAACTCCATGGAGGGCGGCGCGCGCGGCGGTGGCGGCGGCGGCCCGCGGCTGCTGCTCGCCGACACGGAGTGCGCGTGCGAGGACGCGCCCGCCTCGCCGCGCCGCAGCACCTCGTCGCGCACCAGCAGCGTCTGCACGCAGAGGCGCTGCAGGCGCTGCGTCTCCTGCAGGCTCTCGAACATCTTGAGGGCGTAGTCGTGCATCACGGAGGCCTTGGAGGTCCCCGTGATGGCGTCGTGGTGCTGGAACAGCGCCAGGTTGCGGCGCGACTTGGTCAGCTTCTCGTAGTCGCGCTCCAGCAGCTTGACGGTGTAGTTGAACCCGGAGCGGCGCGCGCGGTTCAGCGTCAGGGCGTAGAGAATCTCGGCGGAGCGCAGGCTGGCTTCCAGCTCGCGGTCCAGGATCTTCCAGTACGGCCGCGTGGTGAAGTAGCCGCTCCAGTAGGCCGGCCGGCCCTCGCTGAAGATGTCCGAGTACACGAAGAAGTCACCCTTGAGCGTGTCGAAGTGCTGCGTGCGTTCGCGCACCGCCGCGAAGTAGTCCGCCGGGGTGCCGAACGTCACCTCGGCGTGGTACTCCGCCGAGTGCTTGTTGATGTAGTTGGCCAGCCGGCTGTAGCCCTCGTACTGCTGGTCCCACTCCTGCTCGTGCGAGTAGCGGAAGTCGTCGCCCAGCGGCATGAGGACCACGTTGTGGGGGAACAGCGACCCGGTGCGCCCGTACTGCTGCAGCAGCAGCTCGGCCTTCTGCTTCACGTTGCTGTCGTCGATGGGCACGGCGCGCAGCGAGTACTCCGTGTACTCGCCGGGGATCTTGCGGAAGTCGAAGTTGAGGCAGATCTGCGACAAAACAAGATTGGCTCATGAAGGGAAACAACCTGAGCTGACCACATGGTACACCAACGGGAGTGCTTACCTGGGGGTGCGGGCCGCAGGAGTGCTTGATGGAGTAGATGTCGAAGGGCTGGTTGTGCACCAGCATGTCGGTGCGTCCGTCCGCGTCCCAGCCCTGCCGCCAGAGGAAGTCGCCCATCTGCCGCTCGGCCAGCCACTGCTTCCACGCGTAGTGCACGCGCTGCACCACGGCGCCCGAGTTGACGCCCGACGTCTTGAGCAGGTAGGGCACCGTGGCGCCGTGGCCGAACGGGTCGATGGACCAGCCCGTGCGCGGAGTCACGCCCAGGTTGTTCTTCACCCACTGGTGCCCTGCGAGACAAAGACAAACAGCGTCAGGGCGTGCGTGCGTTGTACGAGGACAGCGGGGCGAAACACGCAATTTTCCTCGGAAAATAAGTCGATAAAAGTGTTTTAAATATGACGAAGTTGTTTCTCATTTCTGACAAAAAATTTCGAAGTTGTCGTTTTCCCCCCCCTTGGGGAGATCCCTGCATTAGCGAGGACAACCAAGCACAAAAGCATAACTTTGTCTCCATGTTTCGCATTAAAAGGACATAAAAAAGTTGCGGCGTTAAAGCCAATGTCGCCCTTTTCTTTGGCGGGCGCGCGGTGTGGCGGTCGTGGTGGTTGGTGCGCCTGCGGGATGTGGGCGGATGTGGGCACCAGAGGGGACCGCGAACATGCAGAATGGTGGAGCACCCGGAACGGCGGTGCAGCGCAGGGCCGCACAGCCTGGCGCGGCACGCCGATGCAGCCCCAAATTATGCCGGCATTACTCACACCCCAACAAATTCGGCAGAATAACGGCGGGCCGGGGACGACGGGATGGCTTGGCAAGAGCGAGAGGGAGGGGGGAGAGGCTCTCAATGCTGCTTTAGCCGCGTCAACGGTGTTATTGTCTAACTTCTTCTGCGGCCGGGGCGGCGTGCGGGCCGAGGAGTTTGGCGTTGTCTTCGGACCTTTCCAAAAGGTTCCAGGCGGTCGGCGCCCCTCTCAATACAACCCTCGGCGCGTCGCCCCGCCCCGCCCCACCCCGCCCCACCCCGCCCGCCCCGCCCCGCCCCGCCCCGCCCCGCCCCGCCCCGCCCCGCCCACCTCGCCACGCTGCGGGGTCGGAAAAATGTCGGGGGCTGGCGGCCTGGCGGGCCTTGGCCGTGACGCCATACACTTGCACATTGGCCCATTGTGCAGGCGGCCATTGTGCCCGCGACGCCGCCGTCAGGCCGTCACGCCGTCACGCAGCGCGCGCCACTCGAGGGGCACTTTTAATTTCTGCGTCGCCCCGCCCCGCCCCGCGGCGCCTCGCTCCGACGCCTTTAGGCTGTGTGACTTGTTGGCGCCCCCCGCAGGGGTGGAGAGAGAGACAGAGACAGAGAGAGACACAGAGAGAGAGAGAGAGAGAGAGAGAGAGAGAGAGAGAGAGAGAGAGAGAGAGAGAGAGAGAGAGAGAGGGGGGGGGCGACCCCCGCGCCTGTCTCACACGATGTTTGCCCTTGGCACACAGGTGTAACGCAACGCGCGCGTCCTTTGGAGGACCCCTCAGAGGTGTCCTCGAAGGGCTTGCCGAGGGTGGCCCAGGACACGGGGGGCTACTAGGAATGCGTCACACACACGCACACACACACATACACGCACACGCAAACACACACACTTCGCACTCGCACTCAGAGTACGACGAGGCTGATTTAAAGATACTTGCGGTCTCAAGAGGAGCGGTATTACGCTAACTCAGCTTTACTGGTCTCCGGCGGGGGCGGGGGGTTTGCGGGTGCGGGTAGGAGGCGGTCCTCCTTCCTGCGCCCTCCTCTGGAAAAGGGGGGGGGGAGAGGGGGAGGAGGTCTCGGGCCGACTGCGGCTAATATTCATGATCGCCTCTAAACAATAACTCCCCAGGGAGCAACCGGCAGCGAGCTGTCTGCCAGCCCGGCCAGGGCGGCGCGCGGCGGGCGGGGCTGGCGGGGCGGCAGCCAGGCAAGGAGGAAGGGAAGGGGTGGGCCTGTGCAACCTTTGTTTCCGAGTGGAAGCAAAGCCAGGCGAAGCCCAGGGCGGCCCGGGGGATGTTTGCACCTCAATACTCCATGTTTATTCTCATTGCCCCCATGCGAGTGCGTGGCGTGGCGCGGCGTGGCGCGGCGTGGCGCGGCGTGGCCCCGAGGGCAAGGAGGGGTGGAAGCCCCGGCAGGAGGAGCCAGCGCCAGCCTTCTGACCCAACCTCGAGGGCGAAGAGTGGCAGAGTACGCCAAGACCCTGACGGGTCACTGATGGTTTGATACACTGATCGAAGGGGTTCCATTTCCGGACCGCATTAATTAAGTTAAACCAAACTCCTGAATCCTGTCCCGGATCAAGGGGCAGCAGGCGGACACGAAAATACCGCATGTGGATTCAGCGTGATTTCAGTGTGATCGACTGTGACTGTGATTTTCCGCGCAATCCACGCCCCAGTGGCGATGTGTCCGGTTCCAGGTATGCACCCCGTCAGCCCGTCCGTCGGCAAACGCTCTGCGGATTATTTGCTAACTGCGCTGCGGTTGGCTTCGGGGGCGAACATTTGAGGCACCACCGCGGCAGTGGCAGGCACGCCCGCGCGGCACGCCGGAATGCTGAATGCTACACAGCGGGATTTCAAATGCCGGCGGTGGCGAATGCCGGCCGGACGGACGGTCGCACCGAGGAGGCCTCGGAGGCGCGGCGCGGCGCTCCTCGAAGCCGCCGACGATCGTAAAGCCTCCACATCGCGCCCTCCGTTGCGTCGCTCTGTCTCTCTCGCACCCAGACGAACCGCCCCGCGAGTGCGAGAGAGACGGAGCGACGAAAGCGCTGTTCGGAATCGCCCTGCCGGACGGTCTTGACGGTCTTTGCATGGGAATGGCCCCTCATAACCACGCCCTCGCCTCGCCCCCTGCAGGGCCCTGCAGGCCCGACCCGCCGCCTACACCAATAACATTGCCCTCTTTTATATTTTTTTTATCGAAGCGATTGCAAGGCCTTCGAGCGGGAAGCACAGCGGGCAGCCCGGCCGCACAGACTACCCAAAGGTGAGACAGGGAGCCATCATTATGGATGCAGTTAGCGAGTGGATCAGGACTTTTCGACTGTCGTCTGTATCTCTCCAGGAGCCGGGAGGGGAGGGGAGGGGGCAGTGACGACACAGCCGCACGGAGTACGCGAGCACGATGGGCTAGGCCGGGAATGATCTCGACAGGCATCGCCGTTAGTCACTCCGGTCCGTCAGTCACTCCGGACACTCCGCGGACCGAAATAACCAAGAGACAAACGATGTCTGTCTCTGTCGCACTCATGGGGCGTCCCGCGGCGGACTCATTTCGGGGTCGATGGGCACGCGGCTAAAGATAGCGGCAGAAATCCAGGTTGCGGTCGTCTCGCCTCGGACATCATTCATTCAGCCGTCTGCCGGTTTTCCTCCTTGGCTGGAGGAAAACAGACACGCAGGCGGACTGTACAGACAAACAAACACACCAACACACACACACACACACACACACACACACACACACACACACACACACACACACACACACACACACACACACACACACACAAACACAGCACGCACAGGCAGAGGGCCAAAAGCGCGTGCGACGCTTTGGACACTTTCTCGCGTTATCTGCTTCGCACAGACGGCCAGTCACTGCGGCGCTGCGGCCCGGACAATGAAAGAACAGAACGGCACAGCACAGCGTGGCACAGCGGGGCACAGCGGGGTCGCTGAGGCAGACATCTGATACAGCACGCGAGGCCCTGGCCCGCCCTGGCCCGCCCTGCCCGGGCACACCAGCACCAGCACACCAGCAGGGCGCGCGCCTGCCCCCCCCCCCCCCCCCACTCATCCCATGCAGCAGAGCAGCCCTCCTCGTCCACTCCATTATGGCCACCACATCAAAGGGGGCTTCGACTCGCTACGACCCGACGACCTCGCAGCCAGTTATCGAGCAAGCACGGCGGGGTAAAAGCTGTCCAAAGTAAAACGAAAAAAAAAAAGCGAACACCATTTTTACAGTGCAGGCAGGCAGACTTACCTTCGATGAGCTGGTCCACCATGGCGAACACGTGGGAGTTGGCCTCGTCCGTCATGACCCAGCCGCCCGTCGTCATCTCCAGGCGGCCCTCCTCCAGCAGGCGCTTCACGGCGTGCCGCTTGGACGGGTGTGCACTGGAAGCAGACACGCCAATCAAATAAGTACCAAAATCCTGATTTGATGGCTGAAGACTCGGTTCGTGCTTTACGTTAAGACGAACGGCCCCCGAGTACAAACGCGTGCAGAGAAAGCAGTCCGGGAGAAGCATTCACTGGATCATCCTGTAAGTGGCGAACGGTCGCGGGGAGAAGCGCGGAGTGGAGCGTGCCTCGGCCGAAAGGGTTGCCCGGAGTTTTCGGGGTCTCGGCGGGGCGGGGCGGGGCGGGGCGGGGGGGCGGGGCGGGGCGGGGCGGGGCGCTGGAGGTGGAAGTGGAGACGGTCCGTGTGGATAGACATCGGGGCGCAGAGACGTGCGCAGAAAGTAAAATAAGTGACGACCCGCAATAAATCGCGACGCCCAAGGCGCCGAGGCCGCAGCGCGCACGGCCGGCAGACCGATTCCGGGGGTCGTTCTCTGTCTCTCTCGCACTCAAGGGGCGCCCCGCTTGGAGAGACGGAGCGACGAAGGCGGCTCTCGGAATGAGTGCACAGCCGAGCCGGACGAGCGGAGCGGGGCGATGCGGCCGCGGGGGGGGGGGGGGGGGGGGGGCTCCATGGGGGCCTCCATGGGGGCCTCCATGAGGGCGCGGGCCGAGCCGAGCCGGGCCGCGTCGAGTGGAGGTGGGCCACCGCTTAATATGGGCGGAGCGGCGCGCGCCCGGCCCGCGTGGATGCTTCATTCGTCATGGTAGCTCCGCGTTGCTGGCCCGGCAGAGATTGCCCACTCGGAGTGCCACTCCTCGCAACAGGGCCGAGGCCTGGTTGATCCGTTACCTCGTTCCAGGCCAAACTGCCTGCCGTTCGCGGTGACCAGGTCACAAAGTTGAGCTCCAAAAAAAAAGTAACACGCAAACATGGGGAGGAAAAAATTGGGGTTAGGTCTACGGCTTCACGGACCTGGACTTGAGCCCATCCCAACCCGTCCCATCACTCCAGCCCCGCCAACCCTGAGGAGGAGAGAGTGCGCAGCCTGGCGCAGCCAGTCCAAATGAAGAGTTAGGACGGGGCAGGGTGGGGCAAGTGCGGGCAGAGGAGAGAGAGAGAGAGAGAGAGAGAGAGAGAGAGAGAGAGAGAGAGAGAGAGAGAGAGAGAGAGAGAGAGAGAGAGAGAGAGAGAGAGAGGGAGAGAGAGAGGAGAGAGAGAGAGAGAGAGAGAGAGGCCGTGGCCGAGGCCAAGCAGCGCGATGAAGCAGAGAGGACGCGACACGAGGGGGCAGCGACCGAGCGGATGGCTGATCCAGCCAGAGCAGCGCGTTTTCGTCACTCCGTCTCTCTCGCACTCAAGGGGCGCCGCGTAGGAATGCGTGTGTGAGAGAGAGAGACAGAGCACCGGGCGATATCACGCGCGGCGCGTCCGTATGGCTATCGGCGAATGGCTGGCTGATTCAAACTCCTGCTGTAGCCAACTTCTGCAGAACGCACTCACATTAACGGGGCCAGGGGCGGGACGGGTGCGGTAAAGGGGGGGTGGGGGCGGCGGGAGAGGCTAGGGCGCAGCGGGGCTCGCCTGGTATTTCGATATTGCCAGAGTCGCGGCGGCCAGCGGGGCAGTCGGGGCGGAGGCCGGGACGACCGGGACCGAGACGGCCGGGATCCAGGGCCTCGGCCAGGGCCGTTGCCATCGGCGAGCACCCGCAGCTCCGCAGCACCCCGTCCCGCCTAACCGCCGGCGCCGGCGCCACGCCACTGCCAATGCATAGTTAGACCGCAGCGCAACGGAAACGCACACCAAGGGGGGACGGTGTTTGGCACGTCGTCATGCCCCCCCCCCCCCAACCAGGAAGCGGAAAGAAAACCGCCAATTAGTGAGACAAAACGAAAGAAGGGGAGGGGGCGGCGGTGGTTCGGCCGCACGCAGCGGGGAATAACATGTGGTTGTTGTGTGTGCACAGCGATGGGGAAATAGAGGCGGTGAGGGGGGGGGGGGGCTGCAATTACGTCCGCCGGATCGTGTCACCCCCTTTCCCCTTACGCCTCCCCGTTGAATTCACACTTGGCCTCGTGCCTATATGGTTGACGCAACGACAGGGGCAGGGCAGGCAGGGCAGGCGGGGACGCCGCGTTTCGAATTACACCTGGTGTGGTGGTCGTGTGGACGCGCCGGCCACGCCTTTCGGTCTGATTAAAATCAGCGAGCGCGACTGCCTGCAGCATCACGGGCGGGCACAGCAGCGGAGACACCGCTTCGAAAACACACCCGAGCGGTGGTCGTGTGGACGCGCCGGCCACGCCTTTCGGTCTGATTAAAATCAGCGAGCGCGACTGCCTGCAGCATCACCTGCCGGCCACACACACACGTACACACAGACACACACAGACACACACACACACACACACGAACGCGGTGCAGGCCTGATGGGCAGGCAACCGGCCGCCACACACGCACGCAGAGGCTTGGCACGCCTCTGTGTTTCATCCCGGCTTGGCGCACACGAATGGCGTGCATACCAGAGCCCCCCCCCCCCACCACCTCTAGTTCTCTCAACGCGATTGACACGCCCGGGATCGGAAAAACACACCCCGCCCTGCCTCACCGGAATGCCGCAAACGCGTCATTAATTGAGGGCGCCCTCCCTCTCTCCCCCCCTCTGATTTCGGACAGTGCGTACTCGCTCTGTCTCTCTCGCACCCCCACGGGAGAAAGAGGGAATCTCTCGCCGGCTGGCCCGGCAGCAGCAGAGCGAGCAGAGGAGCAACTCCGAGCGGGCGGAAAGGCTGAACGCAAGGCCGAGCGCTCTCAACCGATAACCGATAAATTCACGGTGGGTTAAAAACAAATAATTGGCATTTCCGCTTTGCCCCGCCCCGCCCCGCCCCGCCTTGGCACTCGCACGCACACGGCCCGGCTGGTCCCGCTTTGGTGCGACCAGGCGAGGCGTTCGCAAGCCCTTCCCGACAGATAACAGGCCGATAATTTGAATAAGAAGCGTTTCTTCACTTGAGAAAAAAAAGACGAAGACGAAAAAATAACTTTTAGAGAGGAAAAAAGGAGGGAAGATGAAAAAAAAGTTGGATGACATTGTTTGTGCGGATGAGAGAGTGGTTTTAAATGGAAGGGGGAGGGGCGGAAGGGGTGGAGGAGGTGGTTCAAGAGGTGGGGGTGGGGGGAAGGAGGTGCTGGATGCCGCAATCAGTAAAGTTGGCTCGCAATTAAAGTTGAGGTCGTGCTGGCCAGATCAGTCCGTTCAGCACGCTACACCCCCTCCCACTTCCCACTTCCCCCTCCCCGCCACGTTTGTCGTCCTCTCTGGGGCCGCATAACCTCCACTCTCTTAAGAAGTCTCTCTCTCTCTCTCTCTCTCCCTCACCTCTGCGGGACGCCCCACTGAGTGCGAGAGAGACAGAGCGACCAAACCGCAAATCGGAATCCTGCCGGACGGCTGCAGCGGTTCGAATCCTGCTCCATTACCCATTGACGGGCCCCAGCCAAGCAGCCAACTTTCCGCGGGGACGGGACGGACTTCCCTTGGCTCTGCTTTGTCCATTTAGTTACCCCTGCCCCACCTCCTTGCATACTTGGGCATTCGCTGTCTCTCTCGCTCTCAAGCGGCGGCCCGCGAGGGAGCGAGAGAGACAGAGCGACGAATAAGCCTCCTGGCCGTCCTCCTCGTCGATGCCAAAGGCAGTAAAACGAACGAATAAGAAATCGAAGGGCCGAGCCGGCGTCCGAGCCTGTTTTGTATTCCCGCCTGATTGCGACTCGTTTTTATTCCCACCATTCATTAAGGAAACAAAGGACGAGGACGAAGGACGACCCGGGGGGCTCCAGTCTTCGCAGTCTTCGTCGCCTCGACTCTCTTTAGTCACGCCTAGTCACTCGGGTTGCCAGACGACGCGGCGGGGCGGCGAGGCGGGGCGGTGAGGCGGTGAGGCCTCCGGGACCGATCGGCGGCCATCAGTGAGGGACTACCCCACGCCTTGCCGCCGCGGCCAGACGGACCTGTCGATACCCCGCGCGCGCGAGGAAGTCTGAACGGCTCTCGAAAAAATAAATGGGAAAATCCCACAAAGTGCGTTCCGCCCAAACGTCGGGAATTTCCGAAAAATAAAACAAATAACAAATTTGTACTGGGTGGTACACCTTTTTGCGTGGTGTATCCACAGACCCTTTTTTCCGACTGATATGGATTACGACTGACTCGACAGCAACGCGCTGGAATTCCTCCCCCAGCGTCACGACGTTCAGCATCGCGGCACATACTGCTGCCATCGCACCGCTCCAAGTTGCCACGGCAAATGTGTTTAATCTCACATTCACGCCCTTCCCGGCTCAAGTTTAGCCCTGTCGGCGCCCCCCCCCCCTCCCCGAGGACCCTCCACCACGCCGCGCCACCGCCGGGGCGAGCGAGCGAGACGAGGTTTGCCTTGATTTGGGCCGCGAGCGGCGAAACCGCTCTGCTCGACGTACTTGACGGCGGAGAGGGCCCGCCAGCAGGCTGCTTCCGAGCAGCGCCCCTGTCTCTCTGTCTCTCTCGCACCCCTGCGGGGAGCCCCGCGAGTGCGAGAGAGACAGCGCCATTCGCCCCGCCAGCCTTCCAATCGACGCGCTTCGCCGGGCCCCGCCAGACCCCATCACCTTCTCTTGAGTTAAATGTAAGCGGATCTGTAAGCCTACTTAGTGCACTACTCCGCCCCCCGCGGCCCCCGCGGCCCCCGCCAGGGACAGCAGGGGCTGTGGCGGCAGAGGACTCAGACCTCAGGACGGTAAGCAACAGCATGGCCCGAGACATTCCCGTAACTTACCGAACTAACTTTGCCGTACGTTAATCCCACCCCGATAACAGATATCAGGAACGGCATTAGCCCAAGGACGTTGGCGAATCACCAGGCGGCGTCACGGCTTATTGAAGACGAAACGAAATCTGTCGGTGAGCAACAACGAATATGCTGTGCAAGACCCTCGAAGACACTGCGCTGTAAACGTGGATGTCTTGATCCATTGGGCGCCACATGCCAGTCCAAAAACTGGCTCCAGTTTCTAGACCCATTCCCAAAGCAAAACGCCTTACTTTAGAAGAAAAAAGTGAAAAAAAAAATGAATAAGGCCATGGATGTAACTTTTGCGTGCCGATGCACAGCCAACTTGACTCCCCACAGCTGCAGCCCCTGCTCCTACACTTGTAGCTCTAACCGTTGACGCGATGTACACGATGGAGGAGTGGCGACAGATTTAGACGCCCCGGCCGCCGAGCGACGCCGAACTGTCGTTTGCTTCGTCGCTCCGTCTCTCTCGCACCCCTCCCCCGGGACCGGTTGCGCGACGGAGACGGAGCGACGAAGAAACGACTCGAGCAGTGTCCCGATGCGCTTGCCGGCTAATGAACGGGCCTCGGGGGAGCGCCTCGACAGTGCAGTGACTGATGGCGGAGGCCGACGTGGCGACGACACTGTCAGCGCCAGGCCGGGCCGAGGGCCAGGACGGAGAGGCCGAGACACACTGCGAGCTTCAAGCGCGCTCCGCCGCCACACGGGAAAGACGGAGGCAGGGCGAGGGCCCCTGCGCGAGGCAGCGTTCGGGCACGGCTGTGCGGCGGGCTGGCCTACCCTGGACTCCGCAGGCGCCCGCGAGCCGCAGGCCGCAGCCTTGAAGTATCTAGTGCGCCTACACTCTCCGTCCGTCGGACTCACCTCTCCCACCACTGCGAGAAGAAGGACACCTCGGTCCAGATGAACGTCATGTTGGGCAGCGCCTGCAGCTTGGACACCATGTTGTTGAGGATGTTGCGCGTCTTGAAGTGGAAGTAGCCCTCGTAGGTGAGCAGCCAGCCGGGGTCGTTGTGCGAGTGCGGCACCAGGATCACCTGCGAACACACAAAGAAAACAAGCTGTATTTCCGCTATGTTTCTCTCATTAAAGGGGGCCAATTTACCCCCCGCTACAGCTCTGGTCCCCGCCCCTCGTGCGGGGCCCTACTATTCCGCGCACCGCCACAGAGCCGCCGCCCCCGCCAATTCCTTCTCCGAGAAAAGAAAACCTACCGACAAAAAAAAATCGAAGCCGCGCTCAGCTCAGCCCTTTAAAACTTGCAGAGTTCCCTCGCGCAACTTGTCCCATCTTAAACTTGCGACGCTTAAAGACGGTTAAAAGGGAGGGAGGGGAGGGGGAGTAGAGACGGCAGCTTGTCCTTGTGATTCAGAGCGATGCCGTGTGCCGCTCCGAGACTTTGCCGCAACAAAAGGGGAGGGGAGGGGGGAGGAAGGGGGGTTGGAGGGGAGGGGGTGCTTACATGATACTTACACGCGCGAGTCGACGGAGAAATGAGAGTAATCCCACAAAGACGTGGGTACAGGAACGACGCCTAGACTTTTGAAAGGAGGAGGGGAGGGGAGGGGGAGGAGGGCCCTCCGTCCGCGCGCAGCACGGCAAAGCGCGAGTGCGGCGCGGAGGAAGGAAGAAATCATTGCTCTTGGCCAAGTTTGGAGCAGGTGGCACGGCCGGGGCACGCAGCCACGCCTCGCCACGCCTCGCCACGCGCCGCCCAGACAGCGACACAACACAAACACACGGCAATGACGCATGACAGTCGTAAACCACGGCGCTCCATTTTTCTTTCAAAGCCACTTTCTGGGCGATGCAAATCCTCCCGGACGTACAACGAGAGCGAATAAAGGCGGAGCCCGGCGGAGCCTCAGCCCCACAAAAGGGCCACCGCGGCGGGGCGGGGCGGGGCGGGGCGGGGCGGGGCGGGGCGGGCGGGCCGCGAAGCAGAGGTCCGACTTTGAGGCTCCTCCTGGCAGACCACGCGCACCCAGACCGCAGGGGACGAATCCGGTGTTCCGGGGGAAACGGAAACGGAAGCTGAATGCAGTCTCAGTCGCCTCGGCAGGCCCGCGAAACAAAACGATATGGTTTCGGCAGCAAACTAGCTTTTTGATTTCCAGTGTGGGTCCGGACCTTTTTCCGTGCAATTTGGACGAGCTCGTTATGAGCGAATACAAGGACCCTGCCGGGCGGCCGGGTGATGCCGACGAATCGTTTCGTCGCTCTGTCTCTCTCGCACTCACGGGGCGACCCGTAGGGCGCGTAAGGGTGCGAGAGAGACGGAGCGACGATTCGGACAGACGGCACAATGCAAACTGGTCACGCACGACTCCATCACGGCCGCGAATCCAATCAGGGCGCGTCACGGCGGACTAACGGCCGAAAAAAAGGACGAAAACATGCAAAAAGTCGCAGGAAAACAGCGTGAATAGTCAAACAAAGAGAGGGAAATAGGGTATGGAAACACGGGCGGAGATGGATAACGGAGTGCGGGGTACGAGACCGGCGGTGTCATGTGCGCGGAGACCGGCGGGGACCGGCGGGGACCGCGCGGACGCCGCGTCAGCCAGCACGCCGACATACCTGACGGCGCTGACATACCTGACGTCGGCGACGTCGCTGACGTTGCGTCTCGAGGCGCGTCCCGGCTTTCCTGAGCCCCAAGCCCCGAGCCCCGAGCGGCGGCACTGGTAGGGGCAAGGCCCCGGCCCTGCAGCGCAGTGGCAGAAAGCCCAGGGGCTCGGGGGCACAAGGCACGAGCCCGGGGACTGGGGACCGCTGGGGACCAGCGGGGCGACTCGTACATTCATACACAACACATGATTTATAAGAAGACGGCTCGGCTCTGGACGGCTGGGGCTTGACAAGAGGAAGTGCGGGGGAGCACATGAGAAAGAGAGAGAGGGAGAGAGAGAGAGAGAGAGAGAGAGAGAGAGAGAGAGAGAGAGAGAGAGAGAGAGAGAGAGAGAGAGATGGTCGTCATGAAACAGAGGGGTTCTGTTTGCCGCCGGGGCACAGTGCCCCAATCGAGTCGGCCTGGCCAGCGCCGGACATTACCCTTTAAGTATTCACGGTAAAAAAGGTACCTGGTTTTCCCAGGAGCCCTATGGCGAAGACATAGGCGGTTTCCAGGGGGTTCCTGGGAAAACCAGGAACCGTTTTTACCGTGTTCAGCCCAGCCACCCGGCCCGGCTGCCCGGCCGGCCTGGCTAGTGTCACGCCCGGTTTGATTTGACAGACGGGCCGGACGGACCTCGCAGCTCACGCCATGGCGGGCAGACAGCCAGACAAACAGTCATACACACTGACACACTGGGTATACAGGCCGAAGCAGACTTGGGTCAAGCCTGACGTCAGCGTTGATGAAAATAATTGAAACGTGGCAAAGAGGCTGCAGGCACGCTTTGTCGGCGGTGCTCTCGCCTCCTGTCAATTACGCCCAGGCACGCCACTCCTACCGCAAATTTCTTCATCATGAGTGAGTGCGCTTCGTACCCTCGATGACGTCACAAAAGGGACAACCATGATGCGAGTCACAAGAGCCGGCGGGAGGGCCCTTCTGGGGAGCGGAGTGCCCCACAGGGGGCGCTGTGTGGGAATGTCTGATGGACCTATTAGAGAGTTGAGTTGTATAAATAATTAAGAGCACCTACCCTGCCCTACCACACCGCCCCGCATCATTCACGCACACACCGACACACACCAACACACACAGCGTAGGAGAAGAGGAGGAGTGGGTGTGTCTTTCTGGCCGCAACACCGCGTTATTCCACGGACCGCGGATGCGGTTCAAGCCAGGCATGTCGGCCATTAGTGTAGTGTACCAGCGCGTACAGCGTTACAGTGTGCTGGCGGTGCAGCGTGGCAGGCGTGTGTCGGCAGGCCGCCATCAGCACTACTTCATCATCGCCGGCATTATTTGGCCGAGATTGGCTGGACGTGGAACCGAAACTTCGTCAGGGAGGCTCCCCGGCGGCCGACCGCCGCCGCCGCCGCCGCCACCGCCACGCCCCCGTCGACCGGCTGAGGCCCCCCGACGCCCTTGTCTCGAGATTACCCCGCGCACAACGGAAAGTTTCCGATATCGTGCGGAGAGGGCTCGGCGCCGCTCGGCGCGCTAAGCAAGATTGACGGGAAGGAGTCAAAAGTTGGACGATATTGCAGCACACGGCGGCCGCCAGGCTAACGCACCGCGCGTCCAAAAGGGAAGGCCTGCTTAGGTAGGTGGACGCACCTCGGGAATCTTTGTCCTTCAATCTGGAGCTTGCATCAACCACCAATTGTCTCCTCGTTCGCAGGGCCATTCTCGTCCCCTGTTTAAGGACTTGCACCTCGAAACGTGGGTCGAGAGAGTCGAATCCGAGTTGGACTGCCCTCCCTTCCGGCCCACTGCACTGCATCCCACTTTGTTTGGCAAAGCTTTGCCGGCGCGGTCATCGGTCCCGGACGGATTTTCCACCGCAAAAGCGACCCGCTGCCCGCCCTGCACGCACTGCGCTTTCGTTCCCAATCGGCCCATCAAAATGTTATCAATTATTCCGGACCTCGGCTGCCTTTGCCTGCCATTGCCTCTGCCTTTGCCACCGCGGCTGCTTTTTATGCGCGGCTCGCCTCTGCATACCAGATGAGTCTGCCATAGCGGTCACTCACTCATTACGCTCGCACACACACTCACACACACACACACACACACACACACACACACACACACAAGACAGACGAATCAGTGCACAGCCGTAGAGTCACACTCATACGCCACGCTCTCTCTCTCTCCCTCTCTCTCTCTCTCTCTCTCTCTCTCTCTCACACACACACACACACACACTCACACACGAGGGCAGAAACCGCCAAGCATGAGAAGCCGGCGGCGAGCTGACCCCCGAAACGCAATTTTATCCCTCCCTCCGGAAATTATTTTCCATTATATCGGGTACATGGGACGCATGTGCGCGCGCGGGGCGAGTGCGGGGGCGGCAGCGGTGCCGAAGAGAACGCCCCGCCCCGCCACCGCCACACAGAGGAGGACGCCGCGAGCGAGAAGCGGACGTTCAAACGCTTTTTGACTTCGCGAGTTGTGTAACGGAGTAGATAGTTTGTGGTCGAGACGCTTGGTGGTTTTTACAGTGCGCCTTTGCGGAGCGAAAAAAAGGAGGCGCTGCGGTGTTATCCTTTACGCCCTGCGTCGAGTTTACAGTATAAACGCGAGAGAGACGGAGAGAGAGAGAGAGGCGCGGGGGTCGCGAACGCGATGGAGCGAGAGAGGCAGTGGGAGGCGTCACCTTAATAAATGTTGCACGCTATTGCTTACCTATCAGGGGCAGGGGCGACAATGCCCCCCGCACGTCGCGCTGCATCGGCCTCATCATTTATTCGTTTGCAGCATGCTGCACTGCGGCACGGCTGGCCTATTCGGCTGCTATGAGCAACGGAGACAGCAGATTACCACGCGGCACAGGAAGAGAGGGAGAGAGAAAAAACGCCGCAACTCATGTATTGTTTTGTGCGAAACGCCGTCTTGCAATTCGTGTCACCTTGCCTGAGGAAAGGCAGGCAACTTGACTCGCGTCTTTTTGGGAGGAGTCAAGGTTGCATTCGGACTCGGCTGACCCTCTTCGGTGCTCAACTTGGGTTCCAAAGAGCCGCTGACGTCCGGAAAGTGGCATAAACTATGGACGGCGTCTTCCTGAAGTGCGGAGGGAGGTCGGCTGGCGGCTTCCATGAATAGTAACACCGGTGGCCTAGTGACGCGGATAGATGCAAAAAGGGAGCTGGCTTGTCCATTCCCACGGATCGATTCCGCGGACGACCGCCAGTCAGCATTACCGCAGGTTCGACCACAACTGACTCTCCAGGCTCGCTCCAGGTCGCGAAACAACAACAATAAACGCTGCCATTTGTTTCCGAACTTTGTCTGTCGCCGGCCGGCGTACCTGCCTGCAGGCGGCTGACCACGAGCGAGGAATCGAAGTGCTTGCCATCGATCATCTGCACCTGGCCCTAGCGAGCGTGTCGCGCAGCGCAGCGGGAACCGTGCAGGTGC